TGTTCTCATTCACTACAATCATAGTTAGTTATCTACCTATGTAATAAGTTCAAATTACAATAAGGATTCATGTTTGTACATTTATCGTTAAGTAATAATATTCCAATTCACCGATTACCATAACGCACAATGTTGACTAGTGTTAGAGATGGTTAGAATAAAGTTAAAGGCGGACAAACCAAAACATGGCATCAGTCCTTGAAGTCACTAACTTCTAATCTTAGCCATGCTGGTAAATGCAGACTACTTGGTTGTGGTCCACGTGACTACCGTAACCAATGATTGGAGACTCTTGGTGACATGGTTCAGAATCAACCACAATGGCGTAGGTGTATACACTCTCTGTCTTCCCTTAAACGATGAGATTGAAATTACTTTATACCTTTCGTTCAAATTTTTCCTTCTTGTATTATATGCAGTCTTCTTTGTTTTATATATACCATCATTGAATAGGTACTTTTATGAATCCGGTGTTCATCTTGCTGTGCCAATGAGGCATGGCAACATGAGCCGATGCATATATATGCCTGGTCCTACTTTGTAGCCGACTGACTGACTGACTAACTGGGTGTGGTTAGTAAACCATAATCTTTAACCATTATATATTATTTTCCAATATATCATTATGTTGTAATACCCGATTTAAAGATGAAAAGAAATCGGAAATAATCTGTCATTGTTATATAAACATTCCAGCTTATCGTTTTTCTTTATCCTTCGGCTAATAAAAAAATAGAAGAAGGAAAACAATATTCATACTTTTACGGAACAAACGTGTTTGTTTTATACAAAAAATGTAACTTAAGAAAAAGTTAGAGGGGGGATAGTGGTGTTGGTAGTGGTGGTGCTGGTGGTGGTGGTGTTGAGGTAAACGGGAAGAAATGTAATAAAGGGACAGTTCACCTTTTCTTTTCAAACATAAAAATGAGAAAACAATTTAAGCTTTACGATAGAGACTATTTTTTTATCATTCCCTTTGAATGTATGGCGTCATGTTATGATTCTCAATAAATAAAATTTCATTAGAACAATAGAAATAACTGTAATGTTTAAACGTTTGTCAACCGGATGAAGTTTGACTTTACCAATATACATTATTGTTGTATACATAATGATTGTGTATGCTCAGTGTTTATGCTTTAAAGTACTAGAGGGGAGATGAGTAAAGATTTAGAGGATAAAAAAAAAACAAACAAGATATATTTAGATGTTGTTCACGAAAATAAGAGTCTGATATGAATAGTTGGAAATATCAGTGGCATTTTTTTAAGTAGCTTCCAAAATGTTTGAGGCCAGATCGCGAGGTAGGATCATGGATGTGCCATTAAGTGCTTCCAGGTTTTCTATGGTGGTCTAGATTCAATTGATTCATAATCTCAACTATTGAAATTAGTATAATATCCACAAATGCCCTTCTGATATTAAACAACATATACTCACTAGTGAATGGCTTCAAAATGTATATCCTGAAGTTCTAATGAGAAGTAGTGACCAGTGGAGTTCAACCAGGTCTGTTGTGAGATACTAACTCACGGATGACAGTGGTGGATGTGTCGCTCAATTTTGTGGATTAGTTGAAATTAGACATTAACAGTGTTGGATGTCAGCCAGGTCAGTGGTCTACAGGTTAAACGTTCACGAAAGACACCGATGTATCCTGGACTCGAATCTGGAGAGGCGTGATCGTGGATGTGCACTTTTGAGGAGTCCCACAATAGAACTAAACAGCTGTCCAGTGCTTTCAGGTTCTCCATAGTGGTTTAACTTTAATCTTTTTTATAACAAAATGATATCAGTAAAAAACCTAGTCGTATATCCTAATATTACAAACAGAAAATAAATTTTAGTCAATCTAATTAATAGTTGAGAATCATATTCCTTTTATTGTTTAGCTAGTTCCAGTAGCCAAACAACTTGGATGATTGTGAAATTTGGAATTTGTATGTCAATAATTGTAGGACAATGAAGGACCTAAGTATTAGAATAAATTCTTGTCTGCCATGTTAGAATTAATATGAATTATATTGTAGTGGATGCTACTTACAAGATTGTTTATAAGTAATGTGCAATGAAATTTGACGTCTAGGTTGTTATAATTGTCAAATGTAGTACGGCTTTGGCAGAACATTTAAAGACCAGACGAGAATACAGTTCATATGACAGAACACACCGTAGGCTGCCAATTGAAGATAGAAAGTTATGTATAATATATTCTATAAGTACTTTGTAACTTTTTACAATAAATACATTCTTTCTGTCTGTTGTCGTGTGTTACATTACAAAGTGTGAGTTATATGTGGAGAGATTCGAATACTTCACTTCTAATTGAAGTTTGTGCTGATGATGTCGTTCAGAAGAACGATGAAAGCTCCACTATCAAATCATCTAGTTAAGAGAACAAAACTTCATCGAAGTCATCCACCTGAGCTACAAATCTTCTCCACCATCTCAGAATACGATAGTTTTATCACACTGTATGTTAGTTATATGCGTAACCCATGTGAATAACAATACTTGATTTAAAAGTTCACCATTTTGACACAGTCTAACCCCAGAAGTATGACTGTATATCACAATTTATTCAATTATTACACTTATTATTAACGTTTAATATAAGTCATACCCTCAATTTGTTTATGTGTGACTATAATTACTGCATAGTTTAGTACTAATTCTAGTTAATTTGCATTTTAGATACAGGATGATGTTTTAATAAACAAGTTTCACTTGTTTCGATCGTGGTCGAAATTCAGATCTTGTGATTAGATTACTTACTTTGTTACACCTGTTACTCCCAATGGAGCATAGGCCACCGATCAGCATTCTATAATCCATTCTGTCTTCAGATTTCCTTTCTAGTTTTATCCAGTTGTCGTTCATTCTTACCATGTTTGTCTCCATTTCTTGGTTAAATGTGTTCTTTGGTTCTTCTCTTCTTCTTCATTTGAGTACTCCAAGTGAGGGTTTGCCTTGTGATGCAGTTGGGTGCTTACCTCATTGTGTGTCTTATCGATTTCCAGCACTTCTTCCTCATTTCTTCCTCCGTTGGCACCTGGTTTGTTCTCTCCCACAGTGTGATGTTGCTGATGGTATCTGACCAACGGATTCAAAATATTTTGCATAGACAACTGTTAATAAACACTTGTATCTTCTGGATGATGACTTTCATAGTTCTCCAAGTATCTACCTCATACAGTATTACTCTCTTGATATTTTTTTTATTAAAAATTGTGACTTTGGTGTTGGTTGACAGACAGTTGTTTTGAGTTGCAGATGTTCTTCCGTTGTAGATATGCTTAAATTTAACAGATGTGTTTACAATATACAGTCAAACACACACACACACATACTATTATGTCAAAATACCAAAAACAAATGTTCTCTTGGGTTTCACTATACATTACTAATTCATTAATAATCATAATAATCATAATAATAATAATAATAATAATAATAATAATAATTTGTTGGAATGACATATTCTTCACAATTGTTGATGTCTACTAATAATCTCTATTTAAGTAGCTTATTTAAGTGAAAGAAATAATCCAATGTTTTGACAAAACAAACAAAATATGTTTATTTTCATAAACTACTAATTACTGTCAAATTAAAATGAAAAACAAACAAACAAACAAACAATAACATAATAAATTATAACCATTCAATTAAATATCATTAACATCACTATTTGTTGTGTATCTTTCCCAATAGTTAAATATCAATAATAAGAGTGAGATAGTTGATAGATTATAAGTAGTATGTTTAGACTTACCAATCAGTTGATTAAAAGATGAACAAAGATATTATGAGTAACATAATTTGTCTTGATGTAAAAGTTCTATCAGAAGGGGTTTTTTGGAGATTTTAGTAATTTCCATAGTTGAAACCGTGAGTCAATTGAAGATAGACCACCATGGAAAACCTAGAAGCACTGAACGGCCGTTTCGACTCCTCAGCAGTGCGCATCAATAATCCTGCCCTCCAGTGCTTTCAGGTTTTTCATAGTGGTCTAGCTTCAATCGACTCATGATCTCAACTACTGAAATTACTGCAATCTCTACAAAATCACTTTTGATAATAATCAACATATGCTCACTAATGAATAGCTTCAAGATGTATTTCCTGGAGTTCTAATGAGAAGAAGTGACCAGTAGAGTTCAATCGGGTCAGTTGTGAGATAGTAACTCACGGATGACAATAGTGAATGTGTCCCTCGATTTCATGGATTTGTTACCGGTGTTGGCTGCCACCCGGTTCAGTGGTCTAGTGGTTAAGTTTTAATGGGTACGATAATGAAGTATAGTTTTCTATGCATTTTGATATTTAATCGTTGATGTGAATTAAAAATTGTGTGATCTATGGAATTTTAGATTTTGTTCGAAGTTTATCGTTTGATTAACATCAACATTTCCCTAGAAATGTTTTATTATATTCATTTTATTATTAAATCATTACAGTGAATAGATTAATAATGAGACTTATAATGTGATGTAGATAATGATTCTGTATAGTTTAATAGTTGAATTCATGAATCACTTGAATCTAGACCACCATGGAAAATCTGGAATCACTGAACAGCCGTTTTGTCCTAATATAAAACTCCTCACTAGTACACATCCATAATCTCAGCCTAACAGGATTCAAACCTAGGACCTATCGATCTCACACATCAACGCTTAACCTATAGACTACTACTGGTATTCATGTCTAACTTCAACCAATCCACGAAATTACTCCATTATCCATCATGATGATCTAGCTTGAATTAACTCATGAATTCAACTATTAAATTGCTAAAATCTTCACACACACACACACACACCCGTGAAAATAAATATTTGATCCCAAATATAAACACAGTAATAACGACGTAATTAAATTTTTTAAATTTTTTTGTTTAATCTCCTTATCTGATTGGTCATTTCATCTTCGCTTGTGATTGGTTAATTATTACATGTTATTATTATTATCAATATTATTACTACTATTACTATTATTATTACTATTATTATTATTATTACATAATGGGAAGTCCTGGAAACAAGTCCTTTATTATAATTTGATCTACTCTTTGAATATTTTAACCAGTCAATTGTATATTTGTTATGGAGATTATTTATCAACTATTGAATATAGACATCTTACATAAATTTAACCTTTATTATATAATCATTAATTTATTTAGTATCCAATGGATTTTATCATATCAGCAATTGTATCCAACTGATTTTCAATCATTAAATTTAGGATCATGTATTAAAAATGATGGTGATGCATTTTGTCAAATGTATAGACGTAATAGTTTTTGTTCAATTCAACATGATGAATGTTTTTGTTTACCAGGATATGTATCAATTTATGAAATGAATGATAGTTGGTATACATGTAAACCATGTAAGTGAATTGTAGTTCGATTTATTTTGATTAAGTTTATGTAATTATCTGGAAAAAAAACAGTATAATGTTGTTACTACTTATAAGGGTTTCAATAGTTGAGATCATTAGTCAATTAATGCTAAACCACTATGGAAAACCTCGAAGTACTGGAGGGCTGTTGGACTCCTTAGCAATACGAACGCACGAGCCCACCCCGCAAGATTTCAACTCAGGACCTATCAGTCTTGCGCGCGAGCGCTTAACCACTGGACTACTGAGCCGGCCGGCATACAACGGTGTTAATGTCTAACTTCAACTAATCCACGAAATTGAGAGACACATCCACCATTGTTTTCAGTGAGTTACTATCTCATAACTGACCCGATTGAACTCCACTGGTCACTGATTTTCACTAGAACTCCACGAAATGCATCTTGAAGCCATTCACTTGTGAGCCTATATTGATTATTACCAGATATTTTGTGGAGATTTTTTATACTACTTATCAATCACTATCTGTTGACATAAGTGAGCATCCTGAGAGAGTGCCTTGACACTTGCTATTATTTATGAGGAGGCTAGTGTAGGAACTTAGAATGTTCATGCTGAATCATTTATTGTTCTTCTGTGTATCGTGATTTAGATGTTTGATATGTAACGATTTGGTGTCTGAAGCAATAATCTCTGGATTTCCCTATTGGTGTACAATGCGGCACACATGTAGTGAATATTTAGCGAATATACCTTTAACAGAATGGAATATATGTCATAACTGTTACTAATAGCTGTCTACTACGACAAATCTATGTATCAATCATGACAATTTGAGAGTTATCTAATACCCCCTTAAGGGTAAATGGTCTATTTACAATGACAGCATACTTAAGCTATCTCGACTAGTTCTGAATAGTGAATAAATCAACAAATTTACTTCTCTTCACTAAAAATTAGGCTACGTAAACACTTATTTCATTAAAATAGTTGAAATCATAAGTCAATGAAAGCTAGACCACCGTGGAAAACCTGGAAGCACTGGACGGCCGTTTCTCCTCAGTATGGGACTGCTCAGCAGTACGCAACCACTATCCCGCTCCCCGAGAGATCTGAACCCAGGACCTATAAGTCTCGAGCGCGAACGCTCAACCATTAGACCACTAAGCCGGCATCATTACTTCATAATAAGATAATTCAGTATTAACCACTTTTTTTTCAGCTTCAAGTAACAGACTGATAAATTACTGATATACTGTCTATTCGTTATACTTCATTTATGAACACCATATAATTTCTAACTTTACTTATTATCAAAAATTGAGAAAAGGCATACAGGAATGAAGCTTACTCAGAAATAACGAGATCAACTAAAGATTACAACGAAAGAATATTTTCAGAATGAGAGTTTCTGGTAATTATGGTAAATTAATGGTTGAATTCCTGAGTCGATTTAAACTAGACCATCACAGAAAATCTGGAAGCACTGCAAGACTGTTTTGTCTTAGTATGGGACTCCTTAGCAGTGCGTATTCACGATCCCATTTGCAGGATCCCAACCTAGGACCTTCGGTGTCACGCGCGAACACTTAACGTCTAGCCCAATAAATATTTTACACTTTTAACTTTTCTACCAGTAAGTAGCTTGATATATTCGACAGCATTTTTTTAATGATAATAAATACATTATTAAGAAGACACCAATCAAAAGAACTCACTGTCGATTGCCTCTAAACAACTGACTGATATATACTAAACTAATCATATCATTATATCTCTTCAATTATCATTAGGATTATTAAATGTTTCTAAGCAATCCGAAGTAACATAGAGCTTAGTTGATCATCAAACTTTAGTATTCTTCTCATAACTGCTTATGTTATCAAGATACATTGGTTGAAGTGAGACATTAGCAACGTTGGATACCGGCTCAGTGATTTGGAGGTTAGGGTTCACGTTCTAGACCCGATGTTCTGGGTTCGGATCTCCGTGAACGGGATCTTGGATGTGCACTGCTAAGGAGTCTCATACTAGGACGAAACGTCCGTCTAGTGCTTTCAGGTTTTCCATGGTGGTCTAGCTTTAGTCAACACATGAATTCAACTATTAAACAAATCATATTATATAAAATGATAATTTGTTTTGCCCAGAATACTTACACATTTGAATGATTTAAATCTTCAGTATACAAATTCGTTATACTTAACAATTATGACTTTAGGTTTGTAAAGTGTATTCGATTTAACAATTGACCTCATTATTTATTAAATATTTTCCTTAAAAAATAATGGTAAACAAAATGTTTACCTTGGATACTAAGGTGTATATTGAACCATTTATTCAATTATGTTTTATTGTATACCCCAAAACATCTATCTTGCTACTACTCTACAGTTATTGATTTTCGGATAAATAGAAATCTAGTAATGTAAATGTTATATTAAGTATAGAAACCAAAGATCATTCATTGAACTAAAAGTACCTTAAATGTCCATATGAAAAGATTAAACTTTTAATATTTGATCTATCATTGTTATGGAATGTTCAGAGATATTGATTAACAAAGGTTCTGATTGGTAAGAAATATTCTAATGGGAAGGTCTGAACTTTAGACCACTGAGCCGTTATCCAACGGTGTTAGTGTTCAACTTTAACCTAATCACAAATTGGTCTGTGTTCGAATCGAGTGAGTAGGATCGTGTATGCGCTCTGCTGAGGATTCCCACACTAGGACGAAACGGCCTTTCAGTGCTTCCAGGTTTTCTATGATGATCTAGCTTCAATTAACTCAGGAATCCAACTGTTAGATTACTAAAGCCTCCACAAAACCCTCTTTTGATAGAAATGGAATCGTTTGTTCATGGGAACTTTAAAATAGAACAACATTCATAATATCACATAAACTTAATTACTCATCAATGTTATTTGCCATTAATATTAAGATACGACAAAGATATACCTAGATATCTCATTAAACAAATAATATTAACCGATCAGTGCTTTCGAATAAATCTGAAAATCCACTTTATTTAGACTGGAGGTTAATAGATTAAAAAACTTCACCTGGGACTACTCTAGGGCTACAACCGGTCCCAAGCTCGGATAAAGGAGGAGGATTCGGTATGGGAGTTACCGACCCCATCCCGTAGAAAACTAACTCGCTAAATGAACACTAGCCAAAAAAATTAGTAGATTAAATATTCAGGTTTTTACTAATTTTAACATCATTTTAGAAATTTTAGAGATATTTGAAGTATTTCATGTTGATGAGCGTCAACTAGAGAAAACGGTAGGTTCATCACTTTCTATTGGTCACTTCCAACCAATCATACAGTATGTGATAATGAGTCATTTAGACTGATAGCCACATTACAATCTGATTGACATTATCTGATCTTAATTAACAACTATCAGCATTGTGAGGTTAATTATTAATATAACTCAATGACTACCACATAGAAATCTTCAGTAAAGAGTACATGTTTAACCTCATATTTTAATGCATTTAATTTTTACTGAATCCTCAATGATTTCCAGCTTGTAAGTTGCAACACAATGATCGACAATCTACTGAAGTTCTTCATCAAAGAACATCTTCGAGTAACTAATTTACTACTGGGATTTCCAACTACATTGATAAGAAATCTTAAAGGGAACCTAATCAAAGTGTTTATTCTGATGATTTATGATAAAGAGAACATACAGTATAAATTTCGATAATAAATAATAATTTTTCAATAGTCAATTAAAGCTAAATCACCATGGAATACCTCGAAGCACTAAACGACCGTTTCGTCCTACTACATGACTCTTCAGCAGTGCGTATGCATAAACCCTCCTCGCGAGATTCGAACCCGGGGTCTTTAGTGTCGCTCTCGAACGCTTAACCTGTAGACCACTGAGCCGATTAGCATCCAACGGTGTTAATGTCTAACTTCAACCAATCTACGAAACTGTTTTTGAAATCCATCTAGTTAGCTTGAGAACCTGTTACATGAATCACAATAACCATGTCGGTGATATTCCTAGTTAGTTGTATCATTATGATAAACTGAATAACTCATAACTTCGTCATTATTTCAATGTTAACAAACCGATCAATATTTACTTTCGGGATATCATCAGTTGTAGACAACGGGTAAAATTACTTACTCAATAATCATAATAATAACTGGAGGTAATCAACACAATACGTTTGACCGAATATATAGTATTGAAATGAATCCCTTCCTGATGCCCATTTAATTTGTATTCGTTGAAAATATAGAAAAAACTTCGTTTTTAAATTCACTTGGTGTTGTTTTACTTGTGTCTTCACATTAATGGTTAGGAGTGCAATTGGCATATGTGCATACTGTGCGTATTGCCTCCATATTGCCTTAATCCACAAGCACTCTAAGCAAAGATGGATGGTGGCTGGTAGTGGAATGCAGAACGTGTGTTTCGTCCTATTTGTGACTCGTCAGTTGGATGTGCCTGCATCTCAGAGTTGATGTTCACTTCAGCGCTCGAACCCAACAACGTTCGCTTAGAACGCCATCGTTTTATCCACTTAGCTACTGAGTCCTCATAGACACTTACTTGTGCAATGTGGTAAAGTTAAAAGTCACTTAGTATTGTTTTACTTGAATCTTCTCATCGACGTTTAGCAATGCAATTGATTGCGTTTGTTCTTATCCATATAAATAATTGACTATTATTCGTCCTCGTTACTTTCAACTAACCCCTCCTTTTATTGTTACCTTTTCTCACATAATGTATTAAATTCATTAAATATTGAAGTAATCGGTTTTCAGATGAGACTAGAATTTATGGACGACCTTTGAGCGACGTTAAATTGACCTTGAGGATCTCCACCTATTGACTAGTGCTAAATGAGGGTTTTGAACTTGTGTGAAAGATAAGGGTTGCTGATTAGGGATAACGATTAGATTTAGGGTATTCATCACGAAAAGACATCAGTTAAAATACAAAGATGCTATTTAGCCATATAGATAAAGAATTTCTCACCGAAATCCAAGACCTGT